AAAAATCAATGAGTTGAAAAGTCACACAGATAGCTGATTGCAAATAAATTCTGACAGATGATCATTAAAAGCCTGGCTCACTACCAGGCTCCTCTAAAAAAGGAGAGAATGGGGACAGGTTATCTGCTTTTAATTTTGTGTGTGCACAAGTGACAGAAAACAGTGCAGCATATATGCACTATTTTTAAAGCTGGCTCAGAAAAAGCAACAGGTTTCATGTTCTGCTCTTGCCTACTCCAAATATATTTTAACTTTGGACACCCTTGTAAGTTATTAGTTAACCATGAAAAGCCTTGAAAGTGAAACACAAGCAAAGTCAAATCCACACAAAGTAAAAGTAAGTAAATGAAATCCATGACAAAACACACAGTTCTGATGGGGGGCCAAGGAGTATGCTGACAGGTTTGGGGAGCTTTGGGGATATTTTATTCCTTTTTAACTAGACAGGAACATTGCAGACTTTTAAGACATTTCTATTTCATCCTGCTCCACAACTTTTGCCTCTCTATTTGTTTATTTTGCCTCCTTATCAGATGATTCTGACAATGACTTCGCACACTGAGCATGGCAAACGATCAAGCAGAAGGGAGAGGAGTGGTTTCCTGCTGCCAAGAGCACACCTCATGTGAGCAGAAGAGCACAATAAATAAGTCACTCTCTGTATTTTTTTTTTTAAGGAAAAAGGCAAAGCTCCATGTTTCCCAAACTTCAATGCTGACACTCTTCCACTGCCCATGATCTCAGCCATGCTGGTGTCAAGCCAGAGGAGTTACTCTGGATTCGAACCGGTGTCTCTAAAGGGATGATCTCAAGTGCTAATAAAATAATAAAAGACTTCCACTGACATCAGACAGGCTGGAATTGTGCATTACAACCAGGCCTTGGACTCCACCGTGTTTTCTTAAGCGTAAGGTGACTACAGATGCAAGTTATGAACTCAGGTCAGAGTGCACTCAGTTTATGCCAATTTAAGCAAGATTATAATGTTGTTCCAAAACTCAGTTCCTGTGGCAAATTTTACTTTGCTCAGTAGAGAGTAAGATTATGGCCAAAATTTCAAGTAAGAAGCATTAACCTTTAACTCCAGAATAACTGCCCACTCCTGTGTTCTCACATCAAATATTGGCTGAAGAAATACTCTCTCTCACAGTCCTTTTCCCTGCTCTTTTAACACTGTGGCATCTATGCCATTCTGTCTGTGGCCTTTTTACTTGCTAACAGCTAAGACACCAACTAAGATAGCCAAGTTTCCATGGAATTCTCAGAGCTTTCCTGCAATAATTTAAACAGAAATCCTGGTGGAGCAGCTTAGTGATAACTGGAGCTATTGTTTTTATCTGGAATCCTCTGGGCTCCAAGCTGCCTGTCAGCTGCACAGGGAGAAGCAGTGATTTACAGTGGGGAGGGGGGGTTCATGCCAAATTCCATAGGGAGGCTGTAAGGGCTGATTTACCTGGTCTGACTGGGCTCTGCATGCAGTTCTGCGACACCATGCCTGGATGGACTGAAGTAGAAGCCCTGCTGCTGAGGTCCATGACAGAAGGTGATGCTGAGGTAGCTTGCTGGAGACCTGACTGGTGTGGGCTAGGCTCATGCTGGTTTGGGCTGGGTGGAATGCCATTTTCTGAGAGGAATTCTTCCAGGTCCATGTATTCCAACTGGAAAGTGTCTCCATCATATGGCAGTGTCTTGTCCCACAATGTTGGACCCAAGAAAGCTGACTGAGGGACTGTGGTACCAGTGCTGTCATCATCTAACTTCTTCTCTTTGTCTTTTTCTTTACCGAATGCTTAAACAAAAACACATAACAAACATGTAAGAATTCAGTAATTAAAATATTAACTACTACTACTTCCATTATTTCTGCTGTACTCTCAGATGTAAGAAATTAATACGCCCTTCAAAAAAATAATTCCTTTGACTCACTCTACTGGGAAGAGAATTGAGGGGTCGTGTCACTGAGCACCTTTGTGGGAACCAACCACATTTTGAGACTGCCCTTTGTTTTTGGTTAACAGTTCCACTCCATGCACAGCTTTGAATGTTAGCATTAAAAAGTACTCAACAGACTTAAAAGTGAACATTTAAGTATTCCAGCAAACTGGAAGCTATTGATATTTTCTGTTGAAAAGGAACAGTCTTAGCCTAAAATCCCTGGGATCCTGTCATTCTTCTAAACTAAGGTCTCAATCTTGCTACTCCTAGCACAAGCAAAATAGTCCTCAAATTCTGGACTTCTAAATGTTAGTAATATACAGTGACAAAGGCTGACAGAACACAGTTTTGATGTGCAGAAGAGACAACAAAATATTCAAAGGTAGAAGCAAAAAAAAAAAAAAAAAAAAAAAAAGCTTAACTAAGGCTCTTCAGCTCTACAGCCCCCAGCGATTTCAATGCACGCTCTGTAAGGGAAACGCCTGATTTCTCTAGAAAATCTGCAACAATCTGAAATCCTAAAGCTTCCTGTCAGCTACCAAGCCTTCGCAGCATTTTATTTTTAAGCTCATCCAACAGCCCCGGTGAAATCCCACGCGTGGCTTGGCAGTGGGACTCGGAGAGCCGCGGACACGGAACTGCGAGACCTTCCCTGGCTCTGCGCTTTCCGAGCGCGCTCCACCGCGGGGCGGGCATGCCCGAGCTGCTCCGCTTCCCGGGGACCGGGCCCGCGGGGCCGGGAGCGGTGTGTGTGGGGCCTGGGATGGTGATCCCGGCCCCCGTGCCCGAGGCACCGAGCGCCCTTGGCGTTCATCCACCGGCACCAGCGAGGGAGCGCCGGGCGCGTCCCGTTAGATGGAGCCGGGGCGGCCGCCGCTCCCGCGGAGCGCCCCGAGCAGCGGTCCCGGGGCTCCATCGCCGGCCGAGCGCTCGGGGCGGGCGGGGGAAAGGGGAAAAGGGAAAGCCACGCCGGGGCTCCGAGTGACAGCGGGGGGTCCCGCAGAAACCTCACCGTCTTCGTGAGCGAGCGGCAGCTTGAGCGGGTTTTCCAGCAGGGACTTCAGCACGCCGTAGGTGGGCGGCAGGAACGGGGGGTTCAGCGGGAGCGGCCGCGACATGGTCGGTGGGGGCTGCCCGCGGCGGCGGGGAGGGGGCAGCTGCGCGGCGAGCGGTTCCTTCCCCCTTGCTGTAGCCGCTGTCGCGGCGCGGGTGAGCCGGGCGCGGGGCCGGGCCGAGCGCCGGTGGCGAGGGGCGCTGTGGCCGCGGGACAGGCGCGGACCGGGCGCGGGTCAGGCCCCTCCGCCGCGCAGCTGCTCCGCCGCCGCCGCCGCTCCCGCCGCCCGCTCTGCGCCGCTCTGCGCCCGCCCGCCCCGCGCCCACGTGCAGCCGCCGCCGCCGCTGACGTCACGTCCGAGAGCGGCCCCGCCATTGGCGCGCCGGCCCCGCCCCGCCCCGGCAGCGGCCACGCCCCCCCCGCGCCCCGCCCCGGCACGCGCGCGGCCGCTCGCTGAGGGGGGGGGGGGGGGGGCGGCCCGGGACAGCCCCCCCGAACCCCCGAACCCCCGAACCCCCGAACCCCCGAACCCCGCGGAACCGGGAGCACTGCGCTAATGGATGCTAATGAGCGCTAATGAGCCCGAACGGCTGGCCCCGCTCCGGGCTCCCCCGGGGCAGCGGCACCCGGCGCTGCCGCGGTGTGAGGGGTCCGGGCTGCGGGCACGGCGCGCGGGGGTCCCGCCCGTGACTCGGGGAACCCACCGAGCTCCCCCTGCCTCTCTTCCAGGTGTCACCTGCGGTGACAGGGCTGTCACCAGCACGAGCAGGGCTGTCACCATCTCACAGAATCCTTCGGGCCGGAAGGGATCACCCAGTCCCACCGCCCTGCCAGGCAGGGTCACCCGCGGCAGTGTCCAAGGTGCGTTTGGAACATCTCCAGAGACTCCACAGCCTCCCCGAACAGCTGTTCCACGGCTCTTCCAGCCTCCATGAAAAGAAGCTTTTCCTCACGTTCAGGTGGAACATTTTGTGTTTTAGTTTATGGCCATTTTTCCTCATTGTGTCACTGGGCGCCACCAAGTAAAGTCTGGACCCATCCTCCTGGCACTTGCCTTGGAGATACTTACATACACTGATGAGATCTCCTCTCAGTCTTCTCCAGACCAAGGAGGCCCAGCTCCAATCAGACTCTTCTTGTAAGAGATGCTCCAGACCCCAAACCATCTTTGTGGCCTCTGCTGGACCCTCTCCAGCAGCTCTTTTCTCTCCTGCCCTCAGCAACCCAGGGTGAGACACAACACTGCAGATGAACCTCCTCAGGATCGAGTAGAGGGAGAGGTCCCACTCTTCCTAATGCACCCCAGGATCCCACTGCCCTCCTGGCCCCAGGGCACATTGCCAGCCCGTGGTCAACTTGTCATCTACTAAGACCCCCCAGGCCCTGTTTTTGCTCAAATGGGACTTTCCTCCCCACTCACCGTGATCTGCATTCAAGCACGGTTGACGTTCCATCTGCTCTGGCCTTCAGCCCATGCAGGCTGTGCAAGAACTGCATTAGTCCCAGAGTAACTTCACCCTTCATGTGCCTGTGGGCATCTGTATCTCCCTTATTCTTGTTTGGGTTTTCTTTTGGATCGCATTTTGCAAAGTTTTGCCATCTGTGTTTGTGACTTTTTCTTCAAAAGTCAGCTTTTAACCATCAACAAATATAAATAATCATAAATATTCACTAGAAGCAAATGAAGATACGTTATGTGCATAAACTGCCCAGTATTTAGAAATATAAGCTGCCTGAAGAACAGTTATGTTCTCCCCTTGTGTACCTACTGTATCTGTTACCTGTGTGAGCAGGAACAGGACTCGGGAATGGCTGGAGCTGTGTCAGGGAGGGTCAGGCTGGATATCAGGAAAAGGTTCTTGCCCCAGAGGGTGCTGGGCACTGCCCAGGCTTCCCAGGAAACTGGCATGACCCCAAGAGCTCCTGGAGCCTTTGAACAATTCTCTCAGGGATGCACAGGGTGGGATTGTTGGGGTGTCTGTGCAGGGCCAAGGGTTGGACTCAATGATCCTTGTCAGGCCCTTCCAACTCTATAATTCTATCATCTGTTATTAGGTGCCTTGCTAAATGAACTGCCTAAAACAAGCAACTGATCAAAGTCCAAAGTGCACTCAAATCAATAAAACTGCACTGGCACAACCAAAACCATGAAGACCGGGGATTGTGACCATCAGGCCCCACAGAACCGGAGACAAGTGACGGGAACAGACTCAGGGCATGGCTGAGCAGGGCTCGGGAGAACTTGGGATGCCACAGACGCCACGTGCTTCACCACTGGAGCAGGGTGTGATAGCAGCAGCGCAGGAGATTTTGTGTCACCTAAGCAAGGAAAAAAGCCCTGGATTATTAAATGACTGTACACGTACCAATATTGCCTCAGACGGCCAAACTGGTGGTTAGTGGAAACCTTTAATTACAGAGGTACAGATGAGTGGCACAAAGATTAGGGTGATTGCCAATCTATATGCAGATGTGGTACAGAATGTTTCTTCTATGTGGTCTAAAGAAAAATAGATGCATTTAGGAGATACGATAAGCAGCAAAGAAGAGTACACAGAACAGAAGATGTACAAGTAATGGGAATACTGGGAAACACCAGCAACTAGTTTCCAGTGGAAGCTCAACTTGAGTACAGCCGTGTTTTTATGATTATTGATCCAACTCAACAGAAAGAAACAGCATTTTCAACACCACAGAAGGACACGAAACCTTCACTGCTTGACACGGAATGGGGTAAATTATAGGTAGATCAGTGCAAGTGTGGAACAAAAGGAAGCCTCTCTGAGCACTGTGTGTAGTTACAGACCCTGCATTCCCAACACACAGGAGCTGGGAATTTCCTGGATGAGAAAGCCAAAATAACTTCCTGATTTATAGACCAGCCAGCAAAGCTGAGCAGAGAATCTGAGCAGGGTGCTGGAGCTGTTATTTTCAGTGTCACACAACAGGAACAGTAATTTAACTCCAGCCATGCTACACAGCCAGATTTCATCCCAATTAACCTAAATTCCAGGCTGTCAGGACACCACGTTGTTTGTGCAAACAAATTACTGATTTTTACTTGCTACAATTTTCCAAAGGTGGCCTCTAATTTCTTTATACTGTTTTGACCACTGGTTTACCCCACATGGTGCATGCCAGGTAAAGCCAACCAAGACAAAACAGAGCTAATTACACTATACTAAACTGATAATGAATGATACCATACTAAAATGATAATGAATTTCTCAATTTTCCACTTGCAATACAATTTCTGGCATGTGTTTTCAGCTTAGCATTCACCCATAAAATGTCTATCTTATGGCTTATGAAAGACTATACAGCTGCTTAGTTTTTGTGTTGAAAATATCTTGATAGGTCCCCTATTTAAAAAAAAAAATTATCTCAACCAGTATTTATATTTCTGCTCATGGTTGTTTCCATCACTGGCATCAGTGATATGAAAAATCCGATTCTTTTCAAACCAAGCACCCAGTGGTTAATGTACCGTAAGATATTTTTTTTTTTCAGTGTGATTATTTTCCTTAGCAAAGACAATCTACAAGGCCATTTTAGAGTAGAAAAATCGTTATATACTTTCCAGGGCTCCTTCTGCCAAGGCGCACACGGTGATCACCGCCCCGGAGCATCGCAGCGGGGTCCCCGAGCACGCACGGGCAGAGGCGGGTCCCGAGCACCGCGGGGCGGCCGCCGAGGGGAGCCGGGCACGCCGGGAGCTGCAGAGCGCTGGCCGCGGTGCCGGAGGCTCGGGGGGGAGGCGGCGATGTGTCCGTGAGGGGAGGAAGGGCCGGGAGAAGGGAAGGGCCGGGAGAAGAACAGGGACAGCGGCACAAGGACGGGGACACGACCCCGGCCCCTCACGGCGCCCCGGGCCCCGCCCGCCCGTCACGCGGCTCGGGGCCGTCACGTGAGCGCGCGCGCGCGGGCGCGGGCCGTGACCTACTTTGGGCCAATGGCGGGGCCGCGGGCGGGCGCGCGCGCAGCCCCCTCTGAGCCCCCCCCCCCGCCATGGGGGTGTCCTGTGGGAAAAGGGGTGTCCGTGTGGGAAATGGGGTGTCCGAATGGGAAAAGGGGTGTCCGTGTGGGAAAAGGGATGTCCGTGTGGGAAAAGGGGGTGTCCCGGTGGGAAAAGGGGTGTCCTGTGGGAAAGGGGGTGTCCTGTGGGAAAAAGGGGTGTCCGTGTGGGAAAAGGGGTGTTCCGGTGGGAAAAGGGGTGTCCGTGTGGGAAAAGGGGTGTCCCGGTGGGAAAAGGGGTTTTCGTGTGGGAAAAGGGGTGTCCGAATGGGAAAAGGGGTGTCCGTGTGGGAAAGGGGGTGTCCCGGTGGCACAGGTCCTGCTGAGGGATGCTGTCCTGCCCAGGGATGGGGATCCGGCCGGGGAGGGGTGTCAGGAGTGTCCAGGCCGGGAGGTTCCCCTGCCCTGCCCTGGGCTGGTGCCGTGCCGTGCCGTGCCGTGCCGTGCCGTGCCGTGCCGTGCCGTGCCGTGCCGTGCCGTGGTTCTGCCGCCCAGGCGAGCGGCGGCCTCGGCACTGATCCCACCGGAGCCGCGCACGGAGCGCTGCGGTCAGACCGGGCCCGGCCATGGACAGCGGGACCGCGGATGTCGCCTCTGGGTAACCCTTGGACTGGCCTGCACTCGGTCCTGCCCTTAGGTCTCAGTTCGTGCCCCTTTGCTGAAAACTCAGTAACCCCCTCCCGCCCCACTCCAAGTTGTTTTAAACACATTTTACAAAGGAGGGACTGCAGGCTCTAGGTAAAAATCTCCAGGACAGTTCATGAGATTAATTTTTTCCACTGTTTTGCAGCAGTTCCCCTTCTCTTATACATTGCCTTGGCGTAGCCTGTAATGGAAATTGGGAATTCTGTTCTGAAATATCTCCTGGAAATATGACTGCAAGGTTTTTCCTGCATAGAGAAAGCTGGAGTGAAAGTGGGTTTTTTAGCGATCCAGCTGACCAGTATGTTCCAAGGCACCTACCTGTATTTTCTCCATAAACATGGATAAAAGTGGGGCAGGAAGACAATGCAGTAATCATGGCTCAGCAGAATTATGGTTACTGATAGATGGAGAGACACCCACTCCCATGCTGGGAGACAGGTTTTGTACAGTCAAGCTTGTGATCTAGAACTCTGTGTGTATTTAAATATATACTGGTCTGCAGAATTCGGGTTTTTCTCTTTCTGTCTCAGGGTTAAATGGAAACCAGTACTGTATGTGCAGTGAGAGATCTCTGAAACCTGAGGGATCAAAGCTTCTAGTCAGGTATCTGTATGGTCACAGCTGAACTGCTACTGTCACTTCATTGCTCTGTTAAATATGTTCTGTCTGGAGAAAAGAGTTGCAAAAGTAGGCGGGCAGAGAACAAGCTGCAAGATGGAGAGGATAAATAATGCAGAACAAGTGTTCGGGTCAAGGCACAGGACAGACTGAAAAAGCAAATGGTTTACAGTACCTTCAATACCCACTGGTTCATCCACTGAGTGGATCTCCACTTCAGCCCTCTGGGAGCCAAAACAATGGATGTAAAGATTGAGTGAGATGCTCAAAAAAACCCCAAAACCAACTGAAAACCAACCAACCAACCAAAAAAAAAACAACAAAAAAAACCAAAACCAAAAACAAAAACAAAAAAAAACCCAAAAAACCCACAAAATCCCCAAACCAAAACAAACAAAACAAAAACCAAACCAAACAAAAAACCCAATAAAGTAAAACAATTTTTTTTAAAAACAAAACCACCCAAAACAAAACAAACAAAACAAATAACACCCCAAAAAACCAACCCCCCAAAAAACTAAAGAGGAGAGAATTGGAAAAGGCTCATGACTCAGCCTTTGTTCTAGTTCTGATTTGTCCCAAAGCAGTGCAAGTTCCCAGGCTGGCCTCACAGGGCAGTGCATTTCCAGCTGTGTGACGCAGAACGTGGAGGGCCATGAAAAGCCACATGAGAACTCAGATACCCACACCCAACTGAGCTGAAAAGCAGCAGCCTTTGAAGAGAAGGTGACAGACACCGAGGAGCGATGGCTGCCCCCCACCTCCCTCCCCTCCGCAGAGGTTCTGCCTAGAACCTCACTTGGCTTTCCACTGAATTACTGAAAAATGGATATTTATTGTCCCCGTGGGGTGCAGCTGAGCAAGCTGCTGGGGCTCCGTGCAAGACGAAAAATGCCTGTTGAATGAACCATGGTCCCGCCTTTTTTATTTTTTTTCATTATTTTAAAATTTTTTTTTTTAAGTTTAATTGAATGTGGGAGAGACAGGTTTGGAACTGCTTTTGGGTGATGCAGAGGAACTTCTCTTAAGTAATCTGGGGTGGTTCCAAAAGGCATTCCAGTTCTCAGAAAAATAGATATTACTAGTCATTGCTTATATGCTGTGAGTTGAAAGATTAATAATTTTCTCTGCCAAAGTTTGCAGGCAGCCTTTACCATGACAGGGTAGATCAAATACATGTTCTTGCCTGGGCAGCCGACCTGGTTTGAACTCAGTAAGTGTGGCTCTCAGTGGTGACTACAGTTTTGGAACAAATACTCCGCTCTGCTTTTTAAAGCAGCCTTCCCCCCGTAAAGCATTAACCAGACTCTCGAGGCCGTTCCAGGCACCTCGTGCCTTTGGTGCCTTGGCGAATTATTCAGACCCAGTAGGTGTAAGCAGCCAGATGACAGAACTGGATTGAGATGAGAGATAAGGGAATAGCTGGCCTGTTTTTCAGTCAGACCTTCCCCTCAATAAGGACAACTCCCAGCTGGTGCCAATGGTAAAAACAACTTGATCCTTCCGTTTATTTCTCTGCACTCCATTCCTCTTCCTTTTTCACTCTTGGCTTGCATGCTGCAAAAAGATAGTTTAGAAATAGCTGTTCTTACATGCTCAGGCTGTTAGATTTTGGAATTTGGCATTGGTTTTACTGGAGACAGAAGAGCACCCACGAGCACAGAATAAAGCAGCCCATCCCCAGGCAGAGCTGCATCAGAAGGGAGGAGTGAAAGGTACAGGAGCTGAGCATCATCCCCTCCTTAATCAGAGTTTCTATTGAAGTCAGTGACCCAGATTTCCCTGACTTCAAATGGCTGCTTTCAGAGAGCTTGCCGGAGGCATGGTGCTGGGGAAGGTCAGGCAGAATTTCGCCTGAAGAATTCCACATGCATAGGCTTATCAGCTCGGGATCTGTACAGCTTGATACTGCAAACCCGTGCTCTCCAGCGGGCTGTCTCACAGTCACTGAAGTGATTGCTGCCCTGGGCTTCAGGCTTGCTAGCTGCCCTAAGCTCGGGATTTCTTTCTGTGATTAGTTCTATGACATCCACCTTGCTCCCAGGTTTCCCTCTCGAAAAAACAAAATGCAGAAAGCACAGACCTGTTCTTAATTGTATGGGTTTAAATTATTAAGAACCCAGAAATGTGATAAACCTTTCTTATCTTTGTCAGGAAAGCCCGACCTTCTGTGGAAGACTGCGAAAATTCCTACAGACAAAAATCAGGCTTCTAAACAGAAAGGTATTAAAGTCATGCTATGTCTTTTAACGAAAGAATTACTGTAACAGCAGTAAGTAGTGCAGAAATGCACATTATTAACTGCATGCAGTTTGTCCTGCAGGTTTAGATTAATTAAATGTTGTTTCTGAGACTGGGATGTTCTTTTCCTCCTCTTCTTTAATGCACTCCCCCTCTCAGTTCCATGCAGTACCTGAGCAGATTCCTGACACTGCTGCCAGCCCACAGTGCCCTTCCTGGGTTCCCCAGGTACACCCAGCAGGGCATTCATTGGTTGGTTTTTTTAACTGCCAAAGGGCATAACCATGTAATTTTCTATAGCTACCTGACAGCATCCATGCAGGGAGATAAAGATGTCCTCCTCCTGTATTTTCCCTTAAATGACTTTGACCTGCAGAATACATTATGTTGATTGGCATGAGAAAGAAGGCTGTGATCTTATTTTTCCTGTTTGTTATAGTGGCTTCAAACTTATCAAAGAAAGAAATAGAGGCTTTTTAGATGGCTGCTTGCCAACAGCACTAATCAGAATTTTAATGAGATTTTTTGAGGCCTAAATTAGGTCTAATTAACAATGTATAAAGCTAATGTATAATGTGAGAGAAGGACGTAGCCTACTGCATATAGAATGGGTTCCGATCTCTTGACAAATAGAAATGTTGAACAAAGTGCACATTTTTGTGCAGGTTTGCATATCTGCAGCTCCCTAGTATTTCTACTGTTATGCCTTATTAACCAATTGCCTTTGGAAAATGTGGAATTCATAACAACTTTGGCATCCCTTCAAGGGAGTAATGCAGGTTCTTATGGCCGAACCCCCTGTGTGGCTCCCACTGACTGACACAGACCCCTGGGTCCTGCAGTGCTCCTTTTGCTATCCTCCCTGTGGCCCAGTGTTCCCATTGTTTGTGGGAGAGAACTGGCCTGGGATTCCCATCGCCCCACCAGCACTAAAGGCAGGGTTACATTTAGTCCACACACACTGTTTTTCTCCAAGCATTTAAGACAGAAAATTATTAACAACTCCAGAATGTCATCCTCAAAGCATGGCCTTGTTTCTGCCCCCAGAGGGTATTTTGTGCAAGGAGGGATGAAGGATTTTTCTCTATACAGGAGTTTGTAGTTATTTATGGTAACACAATTTAGTTTTCTCTTTGTCTGTCTGAGCCATACAGACATATAAACTACTAGAAAAAACAAACTTGTATCCCTGTTGCTCTTATGCAGCTTAATACAATTAAACACCTCAAAGTATTGAATTGCTGCTTCTGCCTAAGTAAACATTTTTATTCACATACTCAGACCATTAACTGGGAACCCTCTTGTAAAGCCTCTTTCCAAATTTCGTGTTTAGTAAACAAATCTCATTTCTTTATGCCAGAAAAATCAATACCTCTTCTGATTCATTTAGCTCATGACATGACCAGCAGCAGTAACAATGGGGGCACAGAGCCCACTGAAACAGGCCAGAACAAAATGAATATAAACCCCAAAATAAACTCTGTCCCTCTCACAAACTCAGGCTCATCAGTACCGTGCTGCTGGGCTGAAGTGTTCAGAACACTTGAATGGGACTTTAAGTGCTGCTCCAGAAGAGATTTATCTGCAAAGTTGTAACCAGAGCTTACACTAATTAACAGAATCTGTAGTTAATGAGGCCGTCTGTCAACTGACCATAAACGTTGAACCAACATCAGACATACTCCAAGGAAGCTTAAATAGCTATTTCAGATGTGTATTTCTTGAAGTGTTTAAATAAATATATTCACATCAAGTTTAAGGAAAGAGCCAAACCACAGGGCAGAGGGAGCCAGATTCATTTTGCATCTGTTACAACACTCAGAATAATGTTTGGGTTGATTTATGGGGGAAATATTTGTTTTTGAGCTGGAATTTTGGTAACTCGGAACAGATGTTCACAGTGTTGAAATACTGTCTGCCCATGCAGCTCTGTTAAATCAAGTGCTGTTACACATTTAAACTAATCTAGGAAGAAATTAATATACTGTGAAATTGCTAATCTTACAACAGGTACATACTAATGGGATTCCAATTTGATTATCTTTCCATTTTATTGGAATCTGAAGACATACAATAACACCTGCGAAAAATTACCAGAGCAGTGAGCTTTCATCTGGTTTGTGACCCCGAAGGAGAGGAAGTGCTTGGCTGTCACTCGTTTTTTCAAAGCATTTTTTGAAGTGTTGAACCAAATCAACTTTCTGACTTTTTTCCCACCTTTGCCGAGCCAGGGGATATTTAAACAATGCAGAGAGAAAAGGTTCTTGTAATGAGAGCGTTATTTGTGCCTCCTAAAACTCATTAAGAATTCGGGGAGTTTGAAATCAACTGAAAAACCCATTAGGCTTTCCAGTTTTATATTAGTTAACAGGACATGTGATTTCTTTGAAATATTTTTAACACTTCCCCTCAAAATTACAAAAACCAGACTAATTTTTATTCCATTTTGCAGGTTCTCCAGGCAGAGGACTTTGCCTACAAGAACTGAGCACCCTGGTAGCCTCTCCCTGGCTCACGGAGCGAGGCTGTGACAGAGGATGGCAGGAGCTATTCTGAGCTCAGAAGTCCTCCCTAATGTCACTTTCCTTTCATTCAGGCACGGATTCTCTTTTGTGTTCCACTAGCTGCTATTGTCTTTTACAAAGAGAATCTCAGCTGGGTTTTCTGCAGCAGAGCTGGCTCTGCTTGAGCCCTGTGTGCCAGCAGCCCCTGGTTTTAGGTGCTGTTTTACAGCTGTACAGAGGGGACACCCTGGCACCGGGCTAATCCATCGAAGCTTTGGGCTTTTCAAGAGCAGTGAAATCCCCTGCAGCTCTGGATCGCACCGAAGCAGATGAGCTTTGCCGGCTCCCCGTGCCCCAGCGAGCGGACGGTGATGTTTGTCTGCCTTGAGGGATGCAGAACACTGACAGCGCTTCCACGGGGATCAGCCTTGCTGGGAGCACAAGTGAGGCTTCCCTGGAAATGTGGTACCATTCCAAGTGCAGACTCCGGGGAGAAGTCTGCCAGCAGCCTTTTCCTCCTCCCCGCACCCCGACTCGTGAATAAACACGGGCAGAGGGAGGAGAGGAGCAGCCGCCAGCAGGACCGCGTTGTACAGAGCTGTCACTGACCGCTCCCTTGGGGCTGCCCAGGCTTTGGGTGTCCCGGTGTCTCCGGGACGGGAAACAGAGCAGCCCATGGCACTGCCGTGCTAAAGCAGCTCCCACCGATTTTGGGTCACATTAACAGCAAATCTGGGCATTTCTCTGCTCCCTCTGCTGCCCGGCTCCCAGCATCAGCCGCGTCTGATCTGCCTCCAAGGGGGGCTGGGATCTGTTTGAATCCCACTGTTACCCACGATTTTAACACGTACTCCACCTCCCAACGTTGTGTGAACCGGCACAGGGCTATCGTGTGCAATAGTCTTAAAATCCAGGCAAGTTAACTTTGAAGAAAATCCCTGGTTAGGCAGTAGTTCCTGCTAGCAATTACCAGGCTTTTATCTGTAGCTGTCAGTGCGCTGTAAAAAGTGGCAGTTACTCCCATTTTACAGAAGAAGCAGATGTTCTAGGGACATCTGAATAGATTTAATGCAGAAATTGCATGCCTAAAAGGTGTTCTAGAAAATCTCATCATTATCACATGACTGATTTTATTCAGTGCACCTAGGAATTCAGATCTGCTGGGTGTGCTTTGCTTCTCTTATTTGTTTTAAAGCAATAGTTCTGAAGTTTTCATTTTGTTCCCCTGCTATGGCAGAAGAAGAACTGGAATGAGACTTTTTTCTTTTTTTTTTTTTCTTTTTTTTTCTTTTTTTTTGAGGAAAACTTTTGGGTATGGATTTATTCAGAACTTCTTGAGGTTTAATTTGGCTTTGTGATCAAGAGGCACACAAGTCACATTTGTGAAATCCAATTAGGCTCCAGCCCTGGCAGAGACACGACACGAGGCACGTACATCCATCTGAGTCCCTGTGCCTCCCTGCTTCTAAAGCCCTCAGCCTCCATGGCAGAGCCGTGCTTCTTATCTCAGGTATTTCAAACTGTGCAGCTCAGCCAGGGCCCGAGACCTGCCCTGCCCCTGGAGAACTCCGTGCTCCTGCTGCTCCCAGAACTGTGGGGCTGGAAGGGAACAGGGATGCATTACCAGCCTTTGGAGTGAAAATGAAAACATCAGCAGGAGCCCCAGTGCTTTGCTTTCCTTGGATCCTTTCTCTTTCCCATATAAGTGCTGTTATTGTTGCATTTCCATTTCAGGCAAGAAACATAATTATATTTCTTTTTCCATTTTTAAATGAATTCTCTTCACATACAAGAGCAAGGATAGTTCTTGATAATAATAATTGGACCACAGGGAACCACTGCCTGTGGGTAGCTGACAGGGTATTTGACAGGAAATGAAGACATTTCTGATCAGAGTGTAGCTTTTGGAGGTCAGGGGGAAATAGTGACTTATGTGAAACAGCAGCAAAACTACTGATTTTTCATGGTTTGCTTTTAGCCAAGAAGCCTAACAATAAAGCCAAAACTCCCCATCGTGACTGGCTGGAAAAATTGCATTCCTCCTCATCAGGATGAGGGGTCATTTCAGCAACCTCCCTCTTGGAGCCCTCAGTGAATGACAAGGATCGTGTAGCTGCAGGTCAATGTCTCTGTCAACATCCTTCTTAAGGTGCAGGAAGAACACAGCCTATGTGTGCTGTGGAAAAATGCTGGACTAAATTCTCTGGAGTCTTGAGTACTGCTGTAAACAGCATATTATCTTGTAATAAAATAACTAAAATAACAGCTGTATTATCTTGTAATAAAATAACTTAACTTAGATGCTGTGTTGTGAAAATACCAACCTATTAAATCCATGCCAACCTTACCCACTGTTGGTGGAAAAAAATCTAGAATGAGCAATAAATAATCCAGGCACCAGAAAATATGAGCAGAGCCTGGATGGTGCAACCTGTGAGCTGGGTGGTATTTTTAGGGTTACATGAAAACAATCCCCAGGGAAAGGCAAAGCTGGTTACAGAGGACAAAGGTGAGGCTTTAGCCACTGGCATTTGATTTTTTGGTGCACTATCACTGCAAGCAGCCAGGGGAAAGATTTACTAAGGTATTTAGGTACCTAAACATCCCTAGCAGCATTTATAGCAGCATCTAAGTAGGTTAGGTGCCTAATTCCCATTAACTCCCGAAGATGTTTAAGCTGCTGAACATCTCTGCAAAGCTGCCCCAGTGCCAGGTGCAGTGTGAGCTGCTGTGACCGGGCTCAGCCCTGCACTGGGGAGTGTTGGTGCCACAGGGACCAGGAGCACAGAGCTGAACAAACGCTCCTGAGCCGGCTGAGATTGCTGCTGCTGACTGAACATAGAGCCACACCAAAGTCACTCCGAGCAGCACTTGCAAAAAGGGCCACGGAATGTTGGAGCTTGGTTTGGAGTCCTGTGTGTTTTGACCTGAGGGTTAAAATCCCATCAGTTCCCAGAAAATGAAACATTTCACAAGCCAAGGCAGAGCAGCATTTCCTGAGCTCCTGGAGAGTTTTGCCCACAGCCCTGCACAGCCCAGCTCCTTCTACAACCACAAATATTTTTCTTAAAGGATTTTCCTTTCCTTACCTCAGTGGCACCAGGCACCTCCTGAGTGTCAGAAAGACTTAAATAAATGAACCAAACCATTCCTAAAGCAGCCTGTTACAAGAGGCATTTCAACAGATGGAGAATGTGGGACAGATTCATTACAATATAAAGGTGTAGTTTTATTAATTTAAAGGCTATCAGATGCACTTTAGTATCTTTTCCGCTTAATTTTTTAAGTTCAGGAATAAAAATGAAAATTTGCCGTTTGTAGTGTTGCATATGTTGACAACTGCTCTTTACAAATTCTGTTTCAAGTTATGCTAGAACCGTTTTCTCAATATACATAGTTCAGCTTAAGCAAAATAATTTTCACAAAACCATTTCACATAAAGGAAGAGATAAGGGGAGATCAAGAGAAATAACCTAGGAAACAAGTATGCCAGTGTACAAAAATAGACTGGAACATTTGGAGACTGTAGGTAAGAAAATGTATTCTCAACCCCAGAGAATGTGAACTGGTGGATTATCTGAGGAGGGAAATGCTCACTGGAGCAGCTGAAGAGATGCAGAGATCTATTTCTAACATCTTTAATTTCTAGGCAAGTTTATAAGAGAGAGAGGAAGAGGCTCCAGGTTTGTGTCACACTGGGGTCTGTGGGAGGTGGCAGTGAGAGGAGCAGGCAGAGTGTCCCGTGCACAGCAGGCTGTGCCCAGGAAGGGCAGCAGTGCAGAGCTGTGCCCCTGCAGCGGATCCAACAGCAGCACAGCTCTGAGCTGCTCCCCATGCAGCCCCTGCAGAGCCTGCCCGAGCCACATCCCAGCCCTAAACAGCTGCTGCCCTTTGGAGCACCCACCTGGCTGACACGGCCACCAGCACAGCGAGTCAGGGCTCAAAGTGGTGCCTCAAACCCCTCCGGAGCAGAACTGGGGAGCTGGAATCTGAAACATCTCCTGAGCAGAACTGGGGAGCTGGAATCTCAAACCTCTCCTGAGCAGAGCTGGGGAGCTGGAATCCCAAACCCCTCCTGAGCAGAACTGGGGAGCTGGAATCTCAAACCTCTCCTGAGCAGAACTGGGGAGCTGGAATATTTCACACCTGTGCAGGCTGGATATCACTGAAGTATGAACAGAAAGTGCTGTCATAAAGCATCCAAATGACTACTATGGCTACAGCAAATACCACAAGGAATTCAGGTGACATACCTCCTGTAGGTCATGAGTCTGTGCCATTCTGAGAAAAGGGATTTAAATAAAAATGCTTCTGGAGTGTCCAAGCCCGAACCTGAAGCACATCCTCTGTCCCTTTGGCCTGAGCTCTCTGGGAGCACAAAGGAGGCTCTGGAGCATGCAGGAGCCACTGCAGCAAACATGGCTAAGCCATTCATGTGTTATTGCTGGGAGAAGTTTTCTTAGAAATGTAAGTTACTGTGGGTCTGCTGAGCAAGCTTTTTTCCCCTAATCCACACCACCTGTGTAGATTCACAGATAATTTGGGTCTGACCAAGTTGAAAGTACAAAACAAATTTTTCCTATTTGCTTATTCAATATACCCTGACATCTACTTCCTGCAAAGCCTGTAAAGGCCTCTTTTGTGAGCTTCAGGAAGAATGTTTGGTGATGTGCTGCTCTCCCGCTCTCTGGCCAAGTGCAGGAGATTACTGGGCTGCTATTCAGAGGCCTGACTTGGATTTCAAAAAAAGGTGAATTATTTTGGTTCAAAAGGATCAACTGTTCCAGTGAGCCTGACCTGGCACAGCTCTGCACTGCTGAAGACAGAGAGCGTGGTCAAGGCACCAGAACCATGAGTGAGTCTGATTTTGATATTCATTCCTCAGAGGACAACGATTCTTAACTCCAATGCCACACCTGCTGAAGCCAGACCTCAAAAAATGTGACTGCAGCCTGTGCCTTCCTCACACTGCCACAATCCCTTCCCTCTCCTGGACTGAAGCAGAGATAAGAGATTTCCTCTGGCATATCCATCAGTGTTTCTGCAGGTTCAGGTCTGTCTCAATCATTAGTAACACCCACCATTATATACAGAACACACATATAAAGAGCCGCCAGAAAAATGCAGCACAGAATCATACATTTGACAAAGCTGACATGGTGCTGTGAATAATGAGATTTAAAATATCCTGTGCTATTGAGGTACACAGAAACCTTTTCATTAACTTGCACCCCCCATCATTTTCTTTATCCTCTTTAAAACATCACTGATGTGTACAAAATGATTTTGTTCTACTTAAAAGACCAGTTCTGAGGAGGTGACTGATTTCTGCTGATCCTGGAGGTGGTTTCACAGGTTTCATTGTACTTGAAACTTCACAGCTTCCACTGAAGTATTTGATGTGTGTCTGTATTGGTTTAGCAGAGTACAAAAGTAGAATAATTTTCATATTGCCTCATACTGTTGTCAGAGTATGATGTCCTCTACAAAACCTTTCTTTTTATTTGACAACTTATCAAAGACACATTTACTAAAGCTCAACAACCAATTTTAGTAAGTATTTGTTTAAAAGGTCATCAGGGCTCCAATATTTCTAATAAATCACTAAATTTCTAGTAGCAAAACTTATTTGAAGATTTCTCCCATAGAAATAAGAGTTTTCAGTTAAGTCATTTCCATTTTTCTCACTATCTTTGGTCCAAAATCTCAACCTCATTTTGCATCTCTCAGTCAACCATCAGCTGGAATCTACCACCAGTGGTCCCATCTTAAATCTCATGTTGCTCAGAGCTGTGAAAATTTCAGCTGACCTGGAAAATTCAGCTTCAGGTCAGGGAAATTACAGGTCTGTGGGGAAATCATGAAAAGATGGGACTGGGCCCTAAGGTAAGACTGATCCCTGGCCCACCAAAATGGGGCGGATTAAGGACTCCTGTGGCCCCTGCATCCTCTGTAGCACACATCAACAAACCCACCTCAAAACCAGCAGAACTCCTCCAGCTTGATGGGGAGAAGCATCACCAGTACTACTACATCACACTAGAAGTAGGTAGATAAAAACCTGTGCATCTGCTCACTAAGGGACTAGAAGCAGACATACAACTCTCTGTCCACAGCTGTCCTCAGCTCTTGGGCCCGGGAAGGTCTCTGAGCCCATCCTCCTCCTCCTCGGAGCACAGCAAGCTCAGGGCGCTGGTGACGGGATGGATCCAGGACGTTGTCTGTGTCACATGGCTAAAAAGCAACCAGAAATGCTATCAGCCACCCAAAAGAGCCTTACCCACCCCAATCATTATGTAACAATCATTATCACACCTTCAAACACAGAACTGTCTTTTTCTTGCTAAATACAAGATTTTTAAAAACAAATGTGGAGTCTTCAGAGAGCCAGAAACTGGACTGGAGGTTCCATTTCCCAGTGCAATAAAGAGAATGCTTTTGGATGAGACTCCTGACACAAACTGGTGACATTTCTTGTTAATTACCGGGCAGACAATTAACACAGCAGGATATTAACATGACCATCTCACTGCTTACAGCCGGAGGGAAGCAGGGTGGTCAAGAGGAAGTTAAGCAAATGTGGAATCACATTGCAGAAACACACTCAGCTCTTTAGAACATGAACCCTGAAGTGTCCAGGGCCAGGCTGGATGGGGCTTGGAGCAATCTGGGATAGTGGAAGGTGCCCCTGTCCATGGCAGGGGGTTGGAATGAGGGGGTATTTAATGTCATTTCTACCCAAACAACTCCATGATTACTATTCTAGCATCATTAACTAATTCCTCTTTTGCAGAAAGAATAATAATAATAAAAAAAATATTTTTTACATCTCCTCTAGCCCAAATTCTGGATGTGCTCCCACAGCCTTTACACACACAATAAAAGGGCATCAGTGCTGATTTTTAAGGTTTAAACCCTACACTTGACGTGCAGGCCAAGCTGCTTTATAGTCTCTGGAAAGCTTCTGTGTGAATGGAAAGAGCCCAGCAGGACTCAGTAAGGACAGACACGAGGACAGGTTTGGAGTCTGTGCTGAGAACACGGCACACCTTGTGAGTGGTGTGTGCATGTGAGCCATACTGTGTGTGGGCAACACACTGCCTCTTCTCCCTTCTGGAATAATGTGTTCTTGGGAAAGGAAATAGCTTCTTTGCACTTGGAAAAAAAAAATCTTGCTAATAAATTCACAGCTTTTATAGTAAAGTCAGTGCAAAGATTAATTTTGTAATACAAGTTCACTACAAGAACAAGCTGAAAAATATTGTGGTTGCAATAAATGCCACAAAGGACAAATGGCTCTTCTCACAGGTCCTAACAGTGTCCCTAAAGGCCAGGTCTGTACTCACTCTCCAGGTGCATTGGTTTAATTAAATTTGAAGGAACTACTCTGGATTTACCTTTTCAAGTGAGAACAGGTTTTGTCTTTCTCTATGTGAGAACACTCCCTTGAATAACTGATTACAGGAACAGATATTGAAGCAGGAATTCGAGTCAATGTTCCACTACACTGAGTGATGGGTTTGAGATCACCATGATCATCCTATTCACACCTTCCAGCTGAGTGCACTGAGCTGGCAATCAGCTGGGTGTGATGAGGATGATACTGTTCACCAAAAGGTAAATTTAATCCTAATGTAAATCCCTGCTCTGAGCAGGTAACCTGAGAATTCGGGCACTGCTTCGACTGAGGCAACGCCTGAGCAAGGACAACACGAGGAAGACAAAGTGGAATATAAAGGCCATACCCTCTGTTCTCAAACATTAAAAAAAAATAATCAAACCCCAAAGCTCAAGTTTTGTGTAAAACCAATTCAGAAGTGCTCTTTTGGTGGGAGCAGGACTGGATAGACTCCATTCCTTCTTTTGTTACAACAATATGCATTATTGGGGTTGTAGGATCCGTTTCACGGGAGTTAAAACAAAAGGAAAAATGAAAAACGTTCCTACAGAAAATACAGTGCAGCAGACAATGAGCACTCTCAAGGACAGTAATTCTTTAATTCTAAGAAAGCAAATGTACTTTTTTTACTAGGAATAAGAGCAACTTGCCAAACATTTCCAATGTTTACCTTCAGAAAGTCAGGTGACAGCCAACATGAACATGAAAAGAGTTGTTTTACAATGTTTTATGAGAGACTTGGTAATAAAGTCTGTGCAACCAAGAACACTGTTCCCATTATTCCACAACACAGGGAAATGTATGCATTCATATTTATATTATGAATATATTTACATTTGTAAATATACTCAGAAACAGATATTTGCTGCATATTTCTGCTATGTTTTCTATAAGGTCAGGAAATGCCTTGTTTCCCAATTAAAATATTCAGTCAAAAAGTCTTAGTATTGGAGATGTGCTCCAAATTGAGGTCCCAGCATGTGGTTTATTGGTATAACACACAGAACTTCTTCAAATACCTGCAGAATTACAGGAGCTGAATGAACTGGATTCCATCCATTCCACCTCTGCCAATGCAAGATTTATTGCCTACAGCACTATTTTAAGTGTTTATATGTTGACTTTTATCAAACCAATTCTGAATTTAAATAAGACCAAAATGATTTTAGAGTATTTTTCTTTTTCCCTTGACTTCCTTGTGTGCATGCCCTGACCTGCTGTGTACCTGGAGCCTTGGCTGCATTTCCTCCTGAGCATGCAGCATCAGCCCTGTGAAATGGGAGAGACTGCACAGGAGTGGAGAGCTACATGGAAAGGTATCCACAGATCTCTGATGTATCCAACTAAAAATTCTTTGTAAAGAAGATTTTTCTCCTGCATTCTCCAGGGCCAGGAGGCAAATGACAGCATGCCAAACTTCCTGCTACTGCTGTAAGAACTTCAGTTTGCTCTCACACAAATTAAATGCACTAAATTCTCCAGATCTTTAACTGTGCAAAACTGTGGCACTGAAATCTGGGTTACCTTTCTCTGTATTTGATGGCATAGGATTGTTTCATTACTGGTAAGAAAGAAAAGAACCAGTTTTCATTCATGTTCAAGACACATGGCTCCAAGTTTTGCTTTGTTGTCAAGCTGCTGCTGCAAACACCTCTGGTTTGAACCCAGCTCCTTTCAGCTTGCTCTAGACTTTATTCTCTTAAGACAGTTTGGTTTAAAACCTTTGCCAAAATCCTTCCTAGGAAAAGAGCTCTTATAAATAAACATTAAGTCCAGATACCACGTCTCACATTGTAGACAGACACACACAATACGTGCAGATTATTTAGGTAGAGAATAAATGTATAAACCCCACTGCTGTTTATTTTTAGCTCTGCAAAAGTGCTGTGACTAAAGAGCTTTGACATAATCAGTCCGAAGAGATAATCCCAGATTTACTGGTTTGGAGAACATTCTTGTATCAGAAATACATCCTCTCTGATTTGTGTGTTAGGGCCAGCAATAAAAAGTGAGAGGGAGTCCAAGTCTGCCTCTAGGTTTTGCTTAACTGACGCAACTGATTTGAATATTAAAGGAATATTTGGAAAGCCAGCATTATAAAGTTTAAATGTACAACATTTTTCATTTGCAAATGTTCCTGTTCAAAAGTCTAATTTAACATTTTCAGAGCAATTAGCAACATTTAAAGATTTTTAGGTTTTCAAACAAATCACTGCAATCGGAGGGCAGCCAAATTTATTGCTAGAAAACAGAAACATTTGATCTGGAAATATGTCAGTAGATTAGTCTGTCTTTTTAACATTAGCAAACTGCAGGACAAATTTCAGAGCTTGGGAAAACAAAACATGAGAACAGAGGGATGTTTTGGCAAAGAAATAGTAGCGGATTATTCCAAATGCCATTATAATTACTCTCCTTATGGCTCTTCCTTCTTCAGATGGAAAATTATTTCTTTTAAAACTACAACCTCAGACAATCTTTTAAGAAAAGAATAACTCAAAAATTCAGAGAAAACCTAATGGAAAGAATACCTGCACATTTGTTTTACATTTTAAGCATTATCAAGATATATTTTTCACCTTAAATTGTGCTCTCCAACTAGGGCCAAAATCTGGAGCCTAACAGAGAGCTGTGAAGTGTTGCAGACACACAAGTGCAGTGGGTCTCAGAGCAGGATGTTGCCCTACAAACCTCACATGCATTACTGGAAGTTGGTTTTTTTCCCCTCTGGAAAGGCCAGAGGTTGCAAAGCAGGTACTGAATGCTGTCAAGCACTGGAAAACTCTTGCTATTTTGAAGAGCAAATGCTGGGAAGATTTGCCAGCAATAACTTATTCTGAGCTGTAACTAAAGCATTTTAATTTAGCGGGTAAGCAATTAGAGCAAAATAAAACAACTGAGTGACATTGATGCAAGTATTACCTATCATTCAGTCAATCAATCAATCAATCAATCCTGAGAGCATCTAAGGATGACAGTTACCATACACAAATCCTAAAGGCAGCTTGAGAAGGGTTTTTGCACTGCATTTATCAAGATAGGATTATATTAATGGAAACATTCATTTTTTCTTTTTCCTTTTTTGTTAAAATTCATTTAAGGCTGTACCCTCTTACAAGACATTTCAAAAGGAACATGCAACCTCTAATAGTACCCCAGGAGATGCTGGGAGGTCCTGGAAAACGTCAGTGACCTTAATTTTACTGGTGTAGTAAGATCAAGAGCACTTGTCACCTCATGGAGCTGTGTCCTGAGGCAACATAAATGTTTCTTGTATTTCCCTCTGGGATTGCAGATTTTGCTTGAGTATTAATTAAAGATTGAGGGATATAAAGTGAAACCCCAGAAGGCAGTCTTGCTATTTATTCCTTGATTAAACCAATTAAACCTTTGTCTACTCAGAAAAATCTATGAGCCATTTCAGCGGGCAGTAATCACTAGGAAGAAGATTTATCCAACCAAATAGTGTGTGCTGCATCATAAAAAATTGTCAACAATAAACAAATTGCTCGAACTAAAATAAAATCAGTAACAACAGCAGGATCTGAGCCAAGGGTGAGTCAGAACTAAGGTTTGAGTGACAGCACAGGCACTTCTCAGCTTGAAAGTACTACCTGAAATCTGTCTCCCCCAGGATCAGCCAAGTGCTGCTCCTCTGAAGTGCAGGTTCAGCGTGTGCAGTTCTCACAGCCCTGTCTCCAAGTGAGCTGCAGAAAAATTCTGGTGCTGTGTATTTGTAAGTGCATCAATGTTCAAGGCTTTTGTTTAAACTCCTTCTGCACTAAACTGACATGAACCTGGAGCAGTGATTTTGCTCCAGATGAAGCACATCCTA